TCAGTTATAGGACTGACAATAAGCGGGCACATTTGACAGGGATGGACTCGGGCATAGATTTTTCGTGGTGGTCAATCGATATTACCTCCTGTCCCAAAAGAAACCGCCATCGTTATAGGGTCGAAGACCCGGACAGATCCCCCGGCTCACCTGCCCCATCCCCTACCGGGCGCCAAGTACACGCCTCCAACTGTTCCAGCTTGTATTTCTGCTGGCCCTGGCCGTCACGAACTGGGTTTTGCAATTCCCCCCCATTCTTCTTGACCGTTAACCCTTCCCGCAACGGCTATTAGCAATAAAATTGTCCGATCGACCACTATGAGCTCAAATCTGAGATTACAGCCTCGGTAAGGGAGGCTATTTTTCCCTTAATTATTCCTCATCGGGTCCGGTTGATTAGCCGCCCAATTTCGCAATCTAAGCTTGGAAATGTGGCTGACGCGCTCTTTTATAAATCAAGAAGAGAGTATCACATCGTGGTTCTTGGAGCTGGTATGAAAAACCCCGCTATCGCGTCGCCCTTGGTGCAAAGAAAACAAAACCAAAAACAAAAAAAAAGGGGGGGTTAAATTCAAACCGCTAACAATTGGGCTTTTTTTTTCTTCGCAGGTGGAGTTGGAAAGAGTTGTTTAACTGGTATCTATCTTTCCTCACCCCATGCTCAATTGTCGTCATAGTATCCACCTGAATGTGTGGGCTTCATTTCCGCCCACTAGAAGGAAAAAAGAAGAATAAGAAAGAAATGAAGCAGAAATGAAGCGAAGAATCAACACACAGCTTTATCATATTCTAACCTGTTTTTGTTCCCGCAGCCCAATTCGTCCAAAATGTCTGGATTGAAAGTTACGACCCGACTATCGAAGACTCGTATCGCAAGCTGATTGAAGTGGATGTGAGTGTCGCGACCACAACATCTCTGATATCTTCTGGGTGTAACCAGTTCTGTTAATCTTTTTTCTTCTTTTCATTTTCTTCTCCATCTAGGGACGACAATGTATTCTGGAGATGTACGTAAAAACCGGCTTTTTCGCCTACACCATACGCGATTCCACGAGGAGGTTTGATCGGGTAGCAATTGGCGACGAACGGATTGAATATAAATTTCCACGTTCTAGGAATATTCTAAGGACTTGAGAACGAACGGCTAATTTAACTGCTGTGCAGATTAGATACTGCCGGGACTGAACAATTCAGTTAGTGGATGATTCCTCCCTTTTCTATCTATACCTTGGTTTGATTGGGATGTATTCTAACGCTTTACTTCTAGCTGCTATGAGGTATGAGCGTCTCTTGCACTCTTGCATTGCACGTACTTCAGTGTGCTAGCCATGATTGCTCCCGCTTTTCGAGAGAACAATCCAAAAAAATACCATACAATCGCCTTCACATCTCAAACTTCAACCCCCATCACTCCCTCCAACATGCACTTTGCCTAGGGAAAATCCCGGACAATCAATATATGTAAAAAAATATTAAAAAACACATAACAAACCTGACCAAGAACGCCCATCTAACTCTTCCCCTTCTAAAAACCTCCAGGGAACTCTACATGAAGCAAGGCCAAGGCTTCCTTCTCGTCTTCTCAATAACATCCGCCTCTTCCCTCTCCGAACTAGCAGAACTCCGCGAACAAATCATCCGGATAAAAGACGACGACAACGTCCCCATTGTCATCGTCGGTAACAAGTCAGATCTCGAAGAAGACCGTGCCGTCTCGCGATCGCGCGCCTTCGCCCTCTCCCAACAGTGGGGGAACTCTCCTTACTACGAAACCTCCGCCCGCCGCCGCGCGAACGTCAACGAAGTCTTTATTGACCTGTGCAGACAGATTATCCGGAAAGACATACAGGCGAGCCAGCAGCGGAGCATGGAGCTGGCGATGAATGGGAGGGTTGGTGGGGGTGTGGTCGGGGTTGGGGGTGGTGGTAGTTCTGCTGGGGTTGGTGGTACTGGGCGTGGGGCGGAAGGGCACAGTCGACATAGCGGAGTCCGCTTACGGAATCGGAGGAGAGCAAAAGTGAAAGGGGATTGTGTGATCTTGTGAATTCTTTCTTTCCTTCTGTCCTACGGTTCGGCTTTTCCTCCCCCACCTTCTTCTGTGTTTATTTGGTTTTCTCTTTCTTTTTTATATACATGATATATGTCCTTTCTATTTTATACTTCCTCCTGTTTCCCGGGGCTTTTTTATTCTTGTTTTTAATGATTTATGGAGGTCTCTTCCTACCCTTGCGCTTAATCCCCGGTTGTATCGCCCCCTCCGAT